CCTCGAGCAGCGGTTACCCTGCGCTTCCCCCTCGGACGTGCTGGGCGGGAGCGGCGTCAGGGTGCGAGGAAAGGGAAATAGGCTGCGACTGGGTCTTGCCTGCCTTAGGGTGCCTCGGACGGTGGAAGAAATTGCTTCTCCTTGCCGAGTCGGCGTTCAGGGAGGCATCTATTGCCAGCAGGAAAGCTGCTCTTGGCACGCATTGTGGCTCTACTAAGGGGCTCTGCCGACGTAGCTACAGCAGCACAAGGCTTCCAGTCTAGGTAAGCCCTATGGGTTCCCATGAAAACTGTTGCAGGGGGTCAAATCAAGTGCCTGAGCAGGCTGAGACAGAGAGAGTTGGCAGGGGAGTGTACAGAAACCGGCAGAGATGCATCTCCAGTTGAAATGAGTCACTGGCGGGAATATTTGAACACTCGGGTGCATGGGCCAGGTCCTGGAGGACTGGAAAAGGGCCAATGTGGTCCCCATTTTCAAGAAGGGGAGGAAGCAGGACCCGGGCAACTATAGGCCAGTCAGTCTCACCTCCATCCTTGGCAAAGTCTTTGAAAAAATTATCAAGGCTCACATTTGCGAGAGCCCGGCAGGACAAATTATGCTGCGGGGAAACCAGCACGGGTTCATAGCAGGTAGATCATGCCTGACTAATCTAGTCTCTTTTTATGACCAGGTTACAAAACACCTGGATGCAGGAGTAGAGGTAGACGTCATTTACTTAGACTTCAGGAAGGCCTTCGATACGGTATCCCACCCCATACTGGTGAACAAGTTAAGAGGCTGTGACTTGGATGACTGCACAGTTCGGTGGGTGATGAATTGGCTGGAGGGTCGCACCCAGAGAGTCGTGGTGGATGGGTCGGTTTCGACCTGGAAGGGTGTGGGCAGTGGGGTCCCGCAGGGCTCGGTCCTTGGACCAATACTCTTCAATGTCTTCATCAGCAACTTGGATGAGGGAGTGAAGTGTACTCTGTCCAAGTTTGCGGATGACACAAAACCATGGGGAGAAGTGGACACACCGGAGGGCAAGGAACAACTACAAGCAGACCTGGACAGGTTGGACATATGGGCGGAAAACAACAGAATGCAATTCAACAAGGAGAAGTGCAAAGTGCTGCACCTAGGGAGGAAAAATGTCCAGCATACCTACTGCCTAGG